CTAATAGTAATCGCAATAAGTGTAGTAGTCGAAACACGAATCATAGAAGTAATCGGAATAGTCGTCGTAGTGATAGTAATATAGATAATAGTAGTAATAGTAGTAGTAATAGTAGTAGTAGTAGTAGTAGTAGCAGTAGTAGTAGTAGTAGTAGTAGTAATAGTAGTAGTAGTAGTAGTATGAGTGGTATGAATCGTAGTAGTACTAGCAGTCGTAGTACTAGTGCAACTAAAAGTAGCAGCAGCAGTAGTAATAGCGGTCACTGTAACAGTAAAGGTAGTTGCGGTGGCAGTGGTGGAAGTAGTAGTAGTACGAGTAGTAGTAGCAATAGTAGTAGTCGTAGTCGTAGTAAGAGTAGTAGTAGTACTAGTATTGGCAGCAACAATAATGACAGTAGTACTACTAGTAGTAGTAGTAGTAGTAGTAGTAGTAGTAGTAGTTGTTGTTGGGGTAGTCGTCGCGGTAGTGGTCGTAGTTCGAATACTCGTACCAGTACTAGAAGCCTTAGTGGTCGTAGTAGTAGTAGTAGTACTAGTCGTAGTAGTGGTAGCAGTAGTAGTAGTAGTAGTAGTAGTAGCAGTAGTAGTAACAGAAATACTACCAGAACCAATACGAGTACTAGTAGCAGTAGTAGTGAACTGAATACTACGACTTGGGAAGTCGTAGTAGTAATAAACTTCATAATAGTTGGACTAGTCGTAGTACTAGTCGAAGCCGTCGTCGTTGTAGTAGTGGTAGTACAAGCGATCGTAGTTACAGTCGCGGGAATCGAAGACATCGTAGTCGTCGTAGTAACAATAGTAGTCGTAGTAGTCGGTGCTGTCGTCGTCGTCGTCGCAGTAGTAGTAGGAGAAATAGTAGTAGTACTAGTAATAATATTAATTATAATAAGCAAACTGGTAGTAGTAGCAAACATCATAACAAAATGACAGTACTAGCAGTAGTAGTCGTAATAGTCGTAGTAGTAGTCGTAGTAATAGCAATCGTAATGAAGGTAAGCGTAGTAGTCGTAGCAAATGTAGAAGTAGTTGTTGAAGAGTTAGTAACAAGTAGTGGTAAAAGTACAAGTAATACTAGTAGTCGTAGTAGTGGTAGTAGTAGTAGTAGAAGTAGTAGTAGTAGTAGTAGTAGTCGAAGTAGTGGTTGCGGTGGTAGTTGTAGTAGTGACAGTAGTAGTAGTTGCAGTAGTAGTAGTAGCAGCAGTAGTAGTAATAATAGTCGTCGTAGTCGTAGTCGTAGTCGTAGTAGTAGTAGTAGTAGTAGTAGTAGTAGTAGTAGTAGTAATAGTAGTAGTAGTAGTAATAGTAGTAGTAGTAGTGGTGGTAGTAGTAGTAGTAGTCGTCGTCGTAGTCATATGCGTAGTCGTAGTAGTAGTAGTAGTAGTAGTAGTAGTAGTAGTAGTAGTAGTAGTAGTAGTAGTACTGGTAGTAATTCCCCAATCAGGGCTTGCCTCTGCAGGGGTCCTCACGGTTTCATATGGTTAGGTTAGCGTGGCAGCCGATTCAGCCGATTTTCGCTGCACGCCCGGGTGCCCGGGTGCCCGGGGGTGCCTAGGGGTGAGGTCGGCCGCCGATTTTCGCTGCACGCCCGGGTGCCCCAGGGGTGCCCGGGCGTGGGTGCCCGGAGGTGCCCTATAGCCCTATAGCCCAGTAGCCCCATGGCCCTACAACTCTATAGCCCTATAGCTCTATAGCCCTATAGCTCATTAGCCCTTATGGCCCTATAGCCCCCTAGCCCTATAGCCCTGATTGGGGCTTTTCTCCGGAATCACAGTAGTAGTAGTAGTAGTAGTGGTAGTAGTAGTAGTAGTAGTAGAAGTAGTAGAAGAAGTAGTAGTAGTAGTAGTAGTAGTAGTAGTAGTAGTAGTAGTAGTTGTAGGAGTAGTAGCAGCCGTGGTTGTAGTAGCAGTAGTACTAGTAGTAGCAGTAGTAGTAGTAGTATCAGTAGTAGTAGTAGTAGTAGTAGTAGTAGTAGTAGTAGTAGTAGCTTTCGTAATCGTAGTCGTAGTCGTAGTCGTAGTCGTAGCCGTAGTAGTAGTGGTGGTAGTAGTAGTAGTAGTAGTAGTAGTAGTAGTAGTGGTAGTAGTAGTAGTAGTAGTAGTAGGAGTAGTAGTAGTAGTAGTAATAGTAGTAGTAGTAGTAGTCGTAGCAGTAGTAGCAGGAGTAGTAGTAGCAGTAGTAGTAGTAGTAGTAGTAGTAGTAGTAGTCGTAGTCGTAGTCGTAGTCGTAGTCGTAGTAGTAGTAGTAGTAGTAGTAGTAGTAGTAGTAGTAGTAGTAGTAGTAGTAGTAGGCGTAGTCGTAGTCGTAGTAGTAGTCGTAGTAGTAGTAGTAGTAGTAGTAGCAGTAGTAGTAGTAGTAGTCGTAGTAGTAGTGGTAGTAGTAGTAGTAGTCGTCGTAAGAATAATACCGGTCATCGTAATATTAGAGTAATACCAATCGTAGTAGTACTAGTACTAGCACTAGTACTAGTACTAGTACTAGTACTAGTAGTAGTAGTAGTAGTAGTAGTAGTAGTAGTAGTAGTAGTAGCAGCAGCGGCAGTAATAGTGTAGTAGTCGTAGTAGCGATAGTGATGGTGGGCAAGAAGAGAGGAGAGTGAGAAGGAGAGGGCGTTCTATGAAGGCAAGAACCCTACTCAGGATGTTGGGCGTCAAACCACTCAGCAAAACTTTGACTCTGTGTCAAGGATGTCTGCAAACAAGAGAGGCCCATAAACCCTTGAAAGAAGCCACAGGAGGGAAGAGCAGCGCTCTCTGTGGGGCGCTCTTCCGCCTGTCCTGCCATGTCGGACCCGCGCTGCCACCTCTGAGGGGCCACCAGAGGACGAAAACTGCCAAAAACGTTCCGTCCTTTGAGCAGGACGCCGTCCCTGGCATGTTCTTAGAACCCAAGAACCTTCTAGGAACGAAAACAACGTTCTTAGAACATAAACCCGATGTGTTAAATCAAGACGGTCTGAGCCAGAAATGTTCTGGGAACATTTCGTGCAGACCACAAGAGGTTCTTAGAACATTCTTCGGTGGGCCTGTAGGCACGCCAGGACGCTTCGCCATTGCTTGAAGGAGTTTACTTCGATGGTCGCTGATTCCGCTTGTGCCCGCCCGCGCGCGCCCAGGACGAGCACGGGCTCTTCGGCCCAGTGCGGCATGTCTGGGGGCAGCTCCTGGAGCTCGGGCGGGAAGGTCTCCGGCCGCACCTGGGCAGTCGTCGTCGTCGTCGGGTGCCCCCCGCCGCCCCCCTCCTCCTGTCTGTGGGCACTTCGCAGCAGAGAGGCTGTCTGAGTTAGCCAAAGAATGTGATTCCCCAAAGAAGGGAGCTAATCGTAAATATTGACTGGTTCGTATCTCCCAAGGATTGTGGCCTAAGCAGTACGCCAAGTCCGAGCGAGCAAAGCGGACCGAGGCTGGGAAGCTCGTTTACTGTTTGGGCTGTAGTCGCATGATCCGTAACTCCGAAACTTCGAAACTCCCTCTCCTCCTTCGTCCGCATCTCTCCTCCTCCCTCCTCCCCCGTCACTCTTTTAGCATCCGCGCGCGCGCGGGGAGGAGGAAGAGGCGGGGGAGGAGGAGGACCATGGAAAACCCATGATGCGTCAACGATGCTGCAATACACCCTCCCGTCCGAGGCCCCTCAACAGAAGTCCCACCAATTGTCCCTACAAATATTCCTTTCAAATGCGACCCTCCCCCCTTTGAACGGCAAGCGCCCTTGGGCCCGTGACTCAGGCGAGACCCCGTTTTGCAAAAGATCCATACTCCCTCTTTCGAGCTGAAAGGAAACGGAACAAGTAGGATGGTACAAGTCAGCGAAATGACCAGGGGAGAATCACACGCCTCCATCCATGTAACTGTTCCGAGCTTTCAAAACGAATGTAAGATTTGAAAACCGCTGGCCCTCCATCCGTGCAAGTGTTGTAAACTTGTCAATCGAATACGCGCGGCGCTGGAAGCCCTATTGAAGTTTACCGCCGGCCCTCCATACTTGCAATTGCTGCTAGCTCTGAGAATCAATGTGCGCGGCGCTAAAGTAAGAGCCCCATGTTGACCCCTCAACCCTCCATCCGTGTGAGCGCTGGGGCTTGTAAGCTTCAGGATGACAAGTTGCAAGCAAGCCCTGAGCAAAACGCTCGGCCTGGCTCACAGACAGGTGGTGCGACAGGGATGGGGGCGACTAGAAGGAAAAAGGATGGATATGAGGGGCACAAAGGAAGGCCGAAGAGAAAAGCGTAGAAGTGAGGAGGAAAGCGGGAGTTCGAAGAGGTAAGAGGAGGAGTGGGGAGGAACCAGGGATGCCGAAGAGTAACAAAGGAGGCCGAAGAAGAACGAGGAGTGAGGAGGAAAGCGGGAGGAGTGAGGAGAGGCAGCAGGAGGAGAGAGGTAGCCGGAGGAGGCCGAAGAGGAAAGAGGAAAGAGGTGAGGAGAGCAGGATGAACATGAAACAGCGAGAGAGCAGCTTCTGGAAACTCCTGGGTGCTCTTGTCTCAGGCTGGTACCCTGAAAGGGGGGAAGAGGGAGAGGATGACAGGAGGATGGGGGAGGGAAGAATGGAGTAGGAGGGGCAACGACGGAAAGGAGGCTGAAGCAGGAGGACGCTGTCCTCGGAATCAGAATCTGACGACGACGCTGGAAAGAAGAATGGGCATTGTTTAACCGACCCCTATCCCGGCCCTATCCCCATGAACGTGGCCTGGGCCCCCATGGTCGATTGACCCCCTAGATAGGGATATTGGCCGTTCCCTTCGGGTTTCGAGGTGTGTGTCCCCAACTGGCGTGCAAGGATGCTGGGGGTCTGGATGGGGATGGGGATGGGGATGGGGATGGGGATCGATTAAACGATACCGAGAGAAGGGACGAGGAGGGAGGAGGAGAAACAGCAGGGAACAGGTGCCCCAGCTCATGCGTGCCCCGGCGGCACCCGAGGGCACATAGGGAAGCAAGCGGCAGCGATGATCCCTCCCGCTGGTGTCGTCCAGCTTGGTGTTCCTTCCTCTCCCCGTCTCCCTCCCGCTCCACCACTCTTCCTTACAGAGTTGCCGGCCCATAGGGTCAAGGACGTGGGAGAGTCTCCAGCCAGGTACGCTCCAAATTAATGTGGTAGTATGTTGCTCACCAGTTTGTGCACGCGCGCGCGCGATGGCGCCCCTTGAGGTCCGCTCGCAAAGAGAGGACCATCGAGAGGCCAAGGTCCAAGCTCCCAAAGAGAGGACCAAGGGCAAAGCTCCAGGCGAAAGCTCCCAAAGAGAGGACCAAAGATCCCAAAGAGAGAACCAAGGGCAGGGCAAACTCGGGGCTCAAACCCTGTCAAGGGTTTCCACCGTGCTAGCCCCTCGGGGGAACAAAAAACTCGGCCTCCAACATGTTCGGCCAAGAGATGGCCCAAGACAGCCGCAGGACCATCAAGGACAGCAGATGAAGGCTCCCAAGAACGGCCCACCCGATGAAAAGCAAGCGTTCACATTTTGGCCTTCTCGCCTCCCCGAGCTTAGAAGGACCTTGGGCCCCCGCGACGGCCTCGAGAGAGCACCAAAGACGGGGCCCAAGAGGGCCCTAAGAGAACCCCAAAACCCCACCAGGGACGCGCTGACCCAAGTCAGCGCTACCCGTAGGTCGGGCGTGTCCTCCTACAGGCAAATTTGAAACGAAACATGAAAAATAGTCGGAAAACGCACAAAACGACTCAAGCATCAAAGTGAGGGGGCCGAACGGTCATTCATTGTCCCTGGGTGCGTGGCTGAAATGAGGATCCCTGGTGAGGATTATGTTTGTTGCCTTGTTCTTGCTGTTGACATGATTGATGATGTTGAACTCTCACTTCTAAAGAATAATTATTGTTAGTCCCCCCCCACCGGTGCATACTGCTTTTTCTCAATCAAAATGTGCCCCTCGACGCTCGCACCTTGTTTTTTGACAAAGAAAACCTTGATGCTCAAACTGGGCCCCTGGCCCCCGGGTTGCAACAACAACGGCTCCCGCCTGAGACTTCTTCACAATTTAGCCAGGACCTCCGCTCCTGCCCGAGACGTCCTCGCATTTTCTTCAGGAATCGCGCTCTCGCTTGGGACCGCCTTGCAATTTATGCAGGAGTCGCTCTCCCGGCGCTCTGGACTCGCGCTCTCGTTGGAGACTTGCTTGCGATCTACTGACGAATGGCGCCCTTGCGTTGGAATTTCCTACATTTACTCAAGCGACGCGCTCCCGACACCCAGGCACCCAGGAGTCGCTCTCACGCGGAGGACTCCCTCACAGATTACCTAGGAATCGGGATATCGCTGCCCTTCGTGGCCCCGTTGCAGCCCTTCGTGGCCCCCTCGCTTTGTTTCGTGGCCCCGTTGCAGCCCTCCGTGGCCCCCTCGCTTTGTGTCGTGGCCCCGTTGCAGCCCCTCGTGGCCTCCTCGCTGCCCTTCGTGGCCCCGTTGCAGCCCTTCGTGGGCACCTCGCTTTGTTTCGTGGCCCCGTTGCAGCCCTTCGTGGCCCCCTCGCTGCCCTTCGTGGCCCCCTCGCTGCCCTTCGTGGCCCCGTTGCAGCCCTTCGTCGCCCCCTTGCTGCCCTTTCGTGGCCCCGTTGCAGCCCTTCGTGGCACCGTTGCAGCCCTTCGTGGCCCCCTCGCTCCTCTTCGTGGCCCCGTTGCAGCCCTTCGTGGCCCCCTCGCTGCCCTTCGTGGCCCCTTGTATGTATGCCCTTTGTGGCCCCCGCTCGTTCGCGCCCGTGGTGGCCCCATCTGCATGCCATTCGTGGCCCCGCTGTCGCCCTTTTGCTGCCTCGCTGCCCTTCGTGGCCCCGTTGCCGCCCTCCGTGGCCCCGTTCTTGCCCTCCGCGGCCCAGCATACGTATGCCCTTCGTGGCCCCCGCTCGTTTGCGCCCGTTGTGGCCCCATGTGCATGCCCTTCGTGGCCCCGCTGTCGCCGTGTGTGGCCCCCTCACTGTCCTACGTGGCCCAGTTGCTACCCTCAGTGGCCCCAGCGTTGCCTTCTGTGGCCCCGCATTATCTGCCGTTCGTGGCCCCCGCTCGTTCGCGCTCTCCGTGGCCCAATACGCATTCCCTTTGTGTCCCCGCTGTCGCCCTTCGTGGCCTACTTGTGCCCATCGTGGCCCTGCTGTCGTTCTCTCTCGCTCTCGCTTTCGCTCGTCGTCGTCGCCGTCGTCGTCGTCGTCGTCGTCGTCGCCGTCGTCGTCGATGTTATCGTCGTCGTCGTCGTGGTCGGTCCCCTGTCCGTCCCTCTTGGGGTCGGGTCGACGGTCCGCGGCCGCCCCGCCGATCAGCGCTGCCGCTGGCCAGACCGATGGTCCGCGGCCGCCCCGCCGCTTGCCGGGGCCCGGCCTGCAGGGAAGAAAAGTGTACCCCCCAAAAGGGGTTCAATCGAAGACGAAGAGGGCGGGTATCGAGGGTATGGGAAATACGTGTTATTTGACACTCGAGCAGATAAGGGCGAACAATCTTAAAATGACTGTTGCTGTTGTTGTGCGTGTTGTTATTGTGGTTGTGGTTGTGGTTGTGGTTATGGTTGTGGTTGTGGTTGTGCTTGTGGTTGCTGTTGTCGTCGTTCCACCCGCGACCCACCCGCGACCCACCCCGCGACCCACCCCGCGACCCACCCCGCGACCCACCCGCGACCCACCCCGCGACCGACTTGCGACACACCCCGCGACCCACCCGCGACCCACGCCGCGACCCACCCGCGACCCCCCCGCGACCCACCCGCGACCCACCCCGCGACCCACCCGCGACCCACCCGCGACCCACCCCGCGACCCACCCGCGACCCACCCGCGACCCACCCGCGACCCACCCGCGACCCACCGCGACCCACCCGCGACCCACCCGCGACCCACCCGCGACCCACCCCGCGACCCACCCGCGACCCACCCGCGACCCACTTGCGACCCACCAGCGACCCACCCGCGACCTACCCACATTGGTTTAACGAAAAATCGGCGTCTGCGGCGGGCTTCTCCAGAGACTCGCAAACTGCCAACGTCCCAACCGCCCCCTCACGCTTATCCGCATCTGCGGGGTGCTACGTAGTCAAAAAATCGTCCCCAACTTATTTCTTGACCATTTGTTGAATACTCCTCTGGTAGAGGGACAGGCCCGACTTAACGCTACCCCGTGCCAGCGGGCGCCATACGTCGCAAACCCTGGCCGGCCGCACAGCACCTCCCAGACCCAGGCCAGCGGAGGGAGTGCAGGGAGGATCGGCCCCGCGCTGCTCCCAAACCCAGGCCAGCCATGGGGAATCAGAAGGGATTAGTAGAGGCCTCCTAGATGGGGTCCGAGCAGACGGGGTCGAAGAATCGCGCTGCATCGCCAGTGCATCACCGACGCATCGGCGATGCATCGGCGATGCATCGGCGACGTCGGCGACGCATTGGCGACGCGTCGGCAAAGGGAACATCGGGCCACGCATCGAGCCGCATCGCCGATGCATCGGCGATCCGGTGCCGTCCTCCGACCCCATCTGCTCGGACCCCATCTGGGAGGCCTAGGATGAGGTGCACCCCAAGGAGCGCTTGACACACCCGTCCCAGACATCCGAAGTCTTGATTTGTTCCATACGGGGTCACCGAAAACCCCGACCCTTTCCCCGGGGCAGCTCTCTCATCCCGCCCCGTTTTTGGACGCCCCAGGGGCCCGGCGGGGGCACCCAGAGGCCGCAAACAGCCAGAAACCTTCCGCAGATTCTCTCGCCACGACGCCAGCGTGTGTCGCATGTCTGGGCTGACCCCCCCGTCCCCGTCCCACCCGCCCCGCAGGAGGCGCGCTCGCGAGGAGGAAGAAGGGGAGGAGGAGGAGGAGGAGGAGGAGGAGGAGGAGGAGGAGGAGGAGGAGGAGGAGGAGGAGGAGGAGGAGGAGGGGAGGAGGAGGAGGAGGAGGAGGGGGAAGGAAGAGGAAGGATGATGATGAGGAGGAGCAGGAGGAGGAGGAGGAGGAGGAGGCCTCAAGCGCGAGGGACGCCGGGGGGCTCTGCTGGCCCACGGTGTTCTCGGCCACGACCTCCACCACGTAGTGCCCGGGCCTGCACCGTCGCACGCCGCCGCGAGCGGGTGGGGGGCTGGGGCCCGCAAGAAGAAGGAGAGGGGGGGGCCTCCGCCAGAGGTCCACCAGAGAGGCCCAGAGAGCTTGAAGAGCGTCCAGAACTTCGAGGAGGAAGGGGCAGAGAAGGAGGAAGGGAGGAGGAGGGGACGCTGATGGTGGAGATGGTGATGGCGATGATGTTTATGATGATGATGGTGAAGATGAAGATGAAGATGAAGATGAAGATGAAGATGAAGATGAAGATGATGATGATGATGATGATGACGATGATGATGATGATGATGATGATGATGATGATGCTGACGTTGTTGATGACGATGATGATGGTGATGATGATGGTGGTGATGATGATGATGGTGTTGATGGTGATGGTGATGGTGATGATGATGACGATGATGATGATGATAATGATGATCATGATGTTGACGATGGTGATTATGATGATCATGATGAGAACGACGATGATGATGATGCTGATGCTGATGATGGTGATGCCGATGATGATGATAAGGACGATGGTGATGGTGATGATGTTGACAATGGAGGTGATCATGATGCTGATGATGCTGGTGATGCTAGTGATGAAGATGATGATTATGGTAGTGATGATGACAATGTGATGGTGATAATGACGATGATACTAAGGATGATGATAATAATGATGATAATGATGATGTTGCTGATGATGATGATTATGGTAGTGATGATGATGATGCTGATGATGCTAATGCTGCTGATGCTAATGATGCTGATGATGATGATGATGATGATGATGATGATGATGATACTGATCATGACGATGGTCATGACGATGGCGACGGCGATGACGATGGCAATAACGATGATGACTGGTATGGCGAAGATGCTGGTGATAACGATGCTGCTGATGATGATGATGATCATCATCATGACGATGGTCATGACGATGATGATGGTGAATGGCGACTGGGAAATGGTGAATGATGATGGTGATGATGTTGATGATGGTGATGATGAGTATGATGACGATGGCGGTGACCATGATGATGGTGAACTGTGAATGGTGACGTTGAGGACGGTGGTGATGATGATGACGATGGTGACGATGATGAGCGTTGATGATGGGTGGGAATGGTGATGGGTTGACGCGGACTCTGTTCTACTATGGCACGTGGGGCCGTGCTAACAGCGGGTGAGCCAGGTGTGGGACCTCTGAGGGATGGCCTACGCCACCGTCGCGGGCGAATGGCGGGCGCGACCGGCACGCGGGGCATGGACCCAGCTGGCGCCCAGAAAGGCGCAAATGCTCCGAAAGGGGCCAGCCCTGGGGCTCGACAGGGTTGTTGATCTCTGCGGGCGCTGGATTCAGAAGGGCGACGGCGCGTCGGGCGCCAAGCGGGGGGACAATCGGCCCTTCCTGAGGCCTCCCTTCCTGCTTGGCGACGGTCTCATCATTTCCTACCTCCTCATCCTCCTCCTTCTTCTTCTCCTTCCGCTGTACCCCACTCCTTCTTCATCACTCCCCCTCCTCTCCATCATCATCAGCAGCAGCAGCCGCAGCAGCATCATCAACATCATCAATAGATTCAGCATCATAAGAATCATCCGCATCAGCATCAGCATCATCAGTAACATCATCAGCATCATCAGTAACATCAGTATCATCATCATCATCATCAGCAGCAGCAGCATCATCATCATCATCATCATCAGGATCCGCATCATCATCATTATCAGCATCATCAACACCATCATCATAATCACCATCAGCAGCATCGTCATCAGCATAATCGCCATCGTCATCATCACCATAACCACCGTCACCCTCATCATCATCATCAGCAGCAGCATCGTCATCATAATCGTCATCGGCATCATCATCAGCATCATCATCGTAAGCATCATCATCAGCATCATCATCCTCATCGTCATCATCATAGTCATGTTCAGCATCATCATCATCAGCATCATCATCATCCATCATCAGCATCCTCATAATCATAGTCATCGTCTGCATCATCAACGTTACTCTAGTTTCTTTTCCCAGGACCCCTGACCATTCGGGTGAGAGAACGGCCATGGTACGCAAGCAATGCACAACGGGCGCCCAGAACAATGCCGAAAACAACTCCAGTGGTATGGCGAGATGCCCTCCCCTTGCATCAGGGACCAAACAAATATGCCCCCGCGCCGTTTGTTCTCGACGCGCCCAAGTAGACGACGCCGACACCACGGCAAACCCGCGAAAACCCGACGCCGCGCACCCCGAGTAGCCGAAGCCGTTACCGCGGCAAACCCACGGCAAGCCCACCTTGGCCGAGGCGGCGTTTGCCCTGGTGGCCGAGGCGCCCTCCCCAAGGCGTAAGGCCGCGCGTGGAAACAAACGGCGCAGCGACATATACGCATCCTCCTCCCTCGTCCTCCCCTCCACCCTCCTCCTCAGATTGTTTTCCCCCTTCCTGGGAGGGGGGAGGGGGGAGGAACAGGATGGATCTGTCTGGTTGTACTCCTCCGATGCTTGGACCGTGCCCAGCCACCAGCGCACGTCACCCGATACCAGCAATCGCATGGTACGCCGCCGAAGGGCGGACTGATACTCCTGGGATTTGCGCACGATCCGCACTGGGCATTCCCAGAAGTCCAGCCCCCAGAGCGTCACCTTTCTTGAGGCCCAGACGACAACGACGAGCTTGTCCCCGAGCAGGGCAGAGGTGGCAGACCCGTTTCGATGCTGCTCGCGCCACCACATGCCCAAAGACAGATGCGACCGCCCAGCGTGGAGACCGGGCAGACACAGAGACAGAGAGATGGAAAGGGGAGACGAAAGACGGAGAGGAAGACGCGCAAGGCTTCGTTTTCAAAGGTGTCTGATGACCTGCCCAGAGACACTGGCCTGGTTTATACAACATCGCGACAATCGGCTTCTATTCACCACGCCGAAGATGCCGTCCTCTCGTATCCTCCCTCTCGCTTCCCTAACTCCCACCACCCTCCTCCCTCCGACACTCCGCCCCCTTCATCCCTACCTCACCCCCCCTTCTCCATCATCTCTGCACCCATACACTCTCGCGGGTCCTCTTTGCTTGAAGAAATCGCCCCTGATCGGACTGATGGGAAATATGGCAGAATGGCGGGCAATGTCCGAAGAGATCCCGGACATACGGAAACCTATAAGATCGCCAGACACAAAGACCTGCGTTTGTGGACAGTTCCGACAGAACCTCGCTGCATATGACAGGGCGACTGAGCACAGGAAACGCAAAGCATACCTCGCCGCCCACAAACAACTATCATGGTCCACGGGCGGATAGGAAGGCATGTGCATAAGCTGTTCGCAACATATAGAGTGAACAGACACGCTACGCGGAGGAGGGCACAGGAGCACGAGCGGGAAGGGAAAAAACACAAACTATGCATTGACACTTACAAGTCAAAGAGCACTCGGGAATCTTGTCTAGCAGAACTCGCGCATGAGATCTACAGGTCGCCCGCACGCTGCAGCAAGCCCGAATACAACATCGACTGCACCCGGCTCCGAGATTCCCTTCACTTCTCTCGCGAGCGTCGAAGGTGCCAACACAAAGCACCCGATCGAAGTATACACAAAATCCAAGGGCGCCTTCAGCGATCGGCCCGTCTGTCCCGTCCAACTCGTCGGACTCATCCGCTGAAGGCTCTAGGCATAGGTCGGGCATGACCCCCTACAGGGGTACTTTGGACGAACAATCAAAAACACTCGAGAAATATTCAAATAATCGAAAACACAAACGAAATCGTCCCAGCCTTGTTTTAAAAAGTATGTTTGACATTCTTCTGTAGAGGGACAGGCCCGACTTAACTCTAGGTTCAAAGCGCTTCACAAGCCTACATATCGAGCTTCGCAGGAATGGCCAACCCAGCGCCTGAGCTCTGAGAGCTCCACCAAAGGGCAATGATAGTGCGCAAAAGCGGTCGACCCCGTAGCTTTTGCATTAGGTCGGGCATGTCCCCCTACAGGCGGATGTTGGGCGATTCCATATATATATATATATACAACTTAAAACAATACTCCAAACATAGACCAAACATGGTTAAACAATCGTTCCCAGACTATTGTGTGACCATTTCTGAATATTCCTCCCGTAGAGGGACAGGCTCGACTTAACTCTTGCATTGTCTTGACTCGCCTCGCCTGCTGCAAGGATGACAGTCTAGGTGCCATCAAGAATTCGTTGAAAATCGCATTTATCTGGCACCATGTCGAGCCGAGCTTCGCGGAATGCGTGTCCAGCGTATCCTTCAAGGCGTTGCTAACACAACTATGTGTTGTTTTGTGTTCCGTCCACCTCGCTGCCTGTGCGGCAAGGCTCTGGAAAGCGATTGCTCCTCGAAGTCATCATCCAGCGGAGCAGCTGCTGCTGCAACGTCAACACGCAAAGCCAAATGCGAGGCACAACTTCTTTCCGACAGCCTGTGGCGAGCGCGCCTTTGCCGAGGTGGCTGGGCGGCCAAGTGGACATCCACCTCGCCATGGCTGCATCGTGTGTCCCCCGAGTGGTCCGTCTCATCGGTCCGCTCTCCTCCCTTCTCGTTTTTTTGTTCTCTCTCTCCCTCTCTCTCTCTCTCTCTCTCCCTCCGTTCCCACTCGATCACTCCGCCCCCCTCCTTCCTGCCCCTCCCCTGGTTCCCCCAACCCCTCCCCGTGCTTGTCCTCCCTCTCCACCGCCCTCCCCCATCCACTGCTGTTCGCTGTCCTCGACTCCCCCGCTCCCGTCTCGCCCCAGCCCTCCGCCGTCTCCCCGCTCCCCCTGCGCCGGCACTCTCGGGGGCACCCGCCTGGTGAGCGCCTTGGACCAGGACACCCTCCTGCCGGCCACGGCGCTGGGCACGCGGACCTGCTCGCTCAGCACGGCGTCGTTGCTGGGATGCGGGGCGCAGCATCGACCATCCTCCTCCTTGTCCTCCCCTCCTCCTCCTCCTCCTCCTCCTCCTCCTCCTCCTCCTCCTCCTCCTCCTGTTTCTTCCTTCCCTTTCTCCTCATCGTTATCTTTTTTCACCCTCACCCGTCATCATCCCTCAGTCCTGTTGTTTCCCCTCACCCCCCCACGTATCATCTCATCCTGGTACTGGCCCACCTCGACATCCTACATCGCTTAGCTGTTGCTGCTCCGTTTCGTCCTCCTCCTCCTCTTCCTCGTTTCACCAGGCTTGCTCGTACAATGTTCGTTATGTTTGTGCGATGTGTTCTGGGTTCTCTCTGAGAACATGCCGCACACTGCGTGCACACCCGCCGGTGCGCTTCTGTGCGGAGCAGCGTCGACGCCGCCGTTTCCCCGCGCATGCCCGCACATGAGACTCACGGTTCATGCCCACGAGGTCGCTAGTCAGGAAAACCCCGCCATGCCCGCACAGGGCCGCACACGCCATATTTCCGCAGAGCGAAAACTTGCAGGAGTTCCTCTCCTGGCAAGCCGGACAATCCCTCCAAGATAACCACCACGAGCGAGAGAGCACGTCTGGAGGACAAAGTCACAAGGCAAGTTCGGACCCGGGCGGGGCGCGCGCGGGCCGAACCGTGCCGACTAGAAGGATGGAACACAGGAGGCGGCCGCGGAGGCGGGACGAGGGAAGAGGGACGCCCGAAGGAAGAGAGCACCACGGGTGTCAGGCGAACGGCCGGGCGGATCAGCGCCGACATGCACAGAGTGGCTGCCGCCAGGAGGGCAGCGCGTACGCTCCGAGAGGCTACCGACTGGTGCCAGAGCCGTCACTGGCGGGACACTGGAGGCCCGCGGGCGCCGCCCGAAAATCCTGGTGCCGCGCATGCGGAGCACGTGCCGGGCACACGCCGGCGCAGCATGTGCACCCAAGCGGAGGAGGCAGGGCAAAGGCCTGGGAGGAACGGAGCGGCTGAGAGGGACGGGGTCCCTGGAAGGAAAGGACAGGCTTTGTAGGGCCTCCGCTGGGCGACTGAAGCCGCCCAGCAGGAAAGAAGCGCCACCGCCTGAAACAGGCGAGCCTCCTCCTGGTCCTCCTCCTCGTCCTCCTTCTCCTCCTCCTCCTGCTCCTCCTCCTGACGAGCTGACCATTGTGCCTGAGACATCCACACGATGTATTCAGGAATCGCGCTCTCGCCGCAATGCCGGTTGCATCTGGCCTAGACGACCACGATCCCTTGCAACAAACACTGCGGTGCACATGTCTTTGCTCTCACCCCTGTCCGCTACAGCCCATAGCCCATCTCCTACTCCTCGACCCGCCTGCTAACTTTCCTTTGCTGCTATTATGATGATGGGTTGTCGCTGGGGTCATAAGGACGAAAACGCGCGGCGCTGAAGCGAGAACTACAATTGGACAACGAACCGCCGTCATCCGCGAAATTGCTACAGACGTTGACGAGGAACGTGCGTGGCTCCGAAACGAGAGTAACATTTGGAAGGGAGCCAACCTCCCTCCGTGCTGCAGGCTTTTGAATGAATGTGCGCGGCTAAGGCGAGAGCAACACATTGAAAACAACACGTCCTCCATCCGCGAAACTGCTGCAATATTTTACGACCAATGTGCGCGGCGCTAAGGCGAAAACAACATTTTGGCATGTTCAAAGCGACCCGCCCTCTATCCGCGAAACTGCTGCAAGTGTTTGAAACTTGTGTGCGCGGCGCAAGAGCGAGAGCCTCATCTTGACACAAAATGGAGCTCTCGCTCTGGCGCCGCGCACATCCGTGAAACTGTTGCAAATTCTGGTCGCTCTCAAAATGATTGAGAGCGACCCGCCAACATCCGTGAAGCTGTTGCAAGCTTCAAACTTCACGGTAATAAAGCAAGGCAGTCTCAGGCGAAACGCAGCCCTACCGTAATGTCTGCGGGTGCAACAGGGTGGAGCCATTGATCAAGGAAACGAGATGGAGGGGAGGAGGAGGAGGAGGAGGAGGAGGAGGAGGAGGAGGAGGAGGAGGAGGAGCAGGAGGAGCAGGAGGAGCAGGAGGAGGAGGAGAGAAAGGAGGAAGGAGAGGAACGAAGGAGGACGACGATGACGCCGTCATCGCCGTGGCCGTCGTCCCCTTAGCTCCTCCCAAACGCGGTGTCCAGTTCTCCAGACCTCTTCGAGGGCGCGCTCTGACCAGGACCCGAATGCGAACCCTGAGATCAGACGTCGCCAAACAAGGCGGCCCGCTGAGCTGTAGGGCGGCGGCGCCGCCGCCTCGAGCAACTGCCCGACGCCGCTGCCGCCGCCGCGCCGAGCTGCTGCTGCCGCGCCAGCCTCGCGCGGTCGCGGCGGCGCGGGCCGGGGCGAAGCGGTTTCCCACCCTCGATTCTCCTCCTGGCCCTCTTCCTCCTCCTCCTCCTCATCTCCTCCTCCTCCCTCCTCCCTCCTTTCCTCCTCCTCCTCTCCTCCTCCTCCTCCCCTTCTCCCCTCCTCCTCCTCCTCTCCTCCCTCCTCCTCCTCCTCCTCCTCTCCTCCTCCTCCCTCCCCTCCCCTCCTCCCTCCTCCTCCTCCTCTCTCCCCTCTCCTCCTCCTCCTCTCTCCCCTCCTCCTTCTCCTTCTCCCCTCCCCTCCCCCTCCTCCTCCTCTTCCCTCCTCCTCCTCCTCCTCCTCCTCCTCCTCCTCCTCCTCCTCCTCTGCCCTCCTCCTCTTCCTCCTCCTCCTCCTCCTCCTCCATCTGAGAGGCCTATAGTGTGCCCGTCCACTGGACGGAGCCCTTCACCACGACGCAGGCAGTGCAATGAGGGCCGGCACAGGCTGCGCGCCATCGGCAGAGCCGACGGGGGCCAGCACGCACTTGGGCCAACACGCGTCCTGAGGATTCTTGAAACGAAGGTCCCCCTCCTGGCCGCAAGGGCTGTGGAGACTCGCGCCGCACGTGTGGCTCTGTGGCCCCCGTGGGGGCACGACTCTGCAGGGGTGCTCGGGGGCCTCCGTGGGGCGTCCAGGGGTCAGGGTCTGGGGCGGAAGCAGACCTTACCAACGCCTCATCATCCTCATCTGCGAGGCGGGGATTTATCCATATCCACCGCCTGGGAACCGACGTCCTGGTGCCCCAGCGGGCGGTGGATATGGATATATTTCGGCCCCCGGGGGCCCGAAAATGTCCATATCCACCGCCTGCCGAGGCTCCGAAAACTGACTCTCCAGGCGATGGATATGGATAAATTCCTGCCTTGGATCATCCTCCCTATCATCATCCAAGTCGTCTTCGTTTCGAAGGTTGCCGCGCGTCTCCTCGAGGTCCTCGCTGACGGCTGGACGAAGCCCGAAGACCTACCCCGGACGGACCCTGGGAGGAATTCGCGTGCCCATTTTGAGCCGATTGAGGTCTTCTTCGTTATCCTCCTCCTCCTCCTTCTCCTCCTCCTCTTCCTGCTCCTCCTCCTCCTCCTCCTCCTCCTCCTCCTCCTCCTCCTCCTCCGTCTCTTCCTCCTCTTTCTCCTCCTCCTCCTTCTCCCCCTCCCCCCCTCCTCCTCTTTCTCCTCCTGCTCCTCCTTCTCCTCTTTGTTTTCCTCTTTCTTCTCCTCCTCCCCTCCTCCCCAGGCCTCCTCGAATCGGGAGCAACGTCGGAGGTTGGGGGGTGAGATCGCAGTGGTACGGAGACCCCCAACCGGGACATCGTTTCGTTCCGTTCGTGTCGCGCGTGCGGGCGAGGCGAAGCTGCCAGGGCGCGCGAGAGGAATGAACCCGCCGTTGATAGGGCGAAGTCAATACAAATGATTCTCTCCCGCCCGCCCGTCTGGCGGTGGCTCGCGGTGTCCCGTGGAGTCCCGCCGTTGCTAGGGCGACATCAAGACAAGTGATTCTCCCCCGCCCGCCCGTCCTTCCGTCCGTCTGGTGGCGGCTCGCAATGTCCCGCGGTGTCCCGTGGTGTCCCGTGGTGTCCCGTTGAGTGAGATCGACAGTGAGATCGATAGTGAGATCTACAAGTGTCCCGTGGTTTCTCGTGGTGTCCCGTTGAGTGAGATCTATAATGAGATCGACAGATGTCCCGTGGTGTCCAGTGGTGTCCCGTGGTGTCCCGTTGGGAGTGAGATCGATAGTGATATCGAACGTGAGATCGATAGTGAGATCGACAGGTGTCCCGTGGTGTCCCGTTGAGAGTGAGATCGATCGTGAGATCGACAGTGAGATCGATAGTGAGACCGATAGTGAGATCGACAGGTGTCCCGTGGTGTCCCATTGAGTGAGATTGATCGTGAGATCGATCATGAGATCGATAGTGACATCGATCGTGAGATCGATAGTGATATCGATAGTGAGATCGATAGTGCGATCGATAGTCATATCGATCGTGAGATTGATGATCAACCTCCTTATCACCCGAAGGGTGGTCGTATGGGTAGTTTTCAGCATCGGTGGGCCCTTGCGAGGCCCCAGGACCGCCCAAAACAGGTCGGGATAGAAAAGCTGGTCGTCCAAACTGGGCGAGCTGTATTCCTTCCTCACCCCCGTAGGTCGCATCGACGATCTGTCGAGAGGGGCGCCGAAGCCGATGCCTCTCCCAGGGGTTGGACCACGGCTCTCCCAGTCGCTGCTGGTTTGCCTCCTCCTCGCCCCCTTTCACTCGGCGACTCTCTTTTTTCTCTGGGCTGGCGGCGCGACCACATGCGGACGCGGCTGATGCCCCCACAATGACCGAAACGAGGACGACAAGGCATGAAAGAACAACCAAAAACTCTAAACATGCACAATTTGTCGCTCCGCGCGGGTTTCTTGGATCCGTGCTGGAATCCCCCCCCCTGGCGCGAGGAGCGCGCCAGGGGCGGCGCCGGAGGCGCCGCCGGGGGGGCCCATGCACCGATCCAAGAAATCCGCGCGAAGCGCCGAAATTTAATGTGTATGGCGTTCGTTCTTCTTCGGCTAAACGAGGAAGGGGAAGCAGAGCAGAGCAGAGCAGCACCCGTGATCCGATCGCCCTGAGACTACAGCACCCTGCAGGCCCACAAGGAGAACCAAAACCGGATCTGGCGCTCGAGAACCACATCTGGGGCCCGGTAATCTTCGGGGCCAGTGGCATCTGGCGCGCGGCCTGCCGATCGCTGCACGCAAAAGGCGACGGCGGCGGTCTCTGCGTGTGCTCGGGTTTGGCCCTCCTCCCCTCTCCCCGCTCCCGCACGGCAGCCCTCCTCTTCCTCCGCTTCCCCATTGCCCCCCCCCCTCCTCCCCGTCCTCTCCCTTTCTCCTCCGTCTCTTCCTCCCCTACTAGTTCTTCTTATTAAAATGGTTCTTATTCGTCTTCCTCCTCCTCCCTTCCATCTTCTCCTCTTCCTCCTCCTCCCTTCCATCTTCTCCTCCCCCTCCCCGCGGCAGCCCAGCCGAATTCAGAATTACATACACACGCATGCCGCTCACATGGCACATGCGCGTCTGCATGTAGCTTACATGCATGGATAAGCCTGAAATCTACACAAGCGGATTCACACCACAATTCTGGCACGCGCATACACATACCGAAAATGGCATGACAAACGCGCAGTTCGATGATTGCTCACAACTGGCTTGAGATCGCCTCTCCCTCGCTGAGACACGTCTTCCTGACCAGCCCAGACTGCACATAACACCCCCCATCCCGAAAAGCCGCTTGTCATAGCTCCAGGGCCCCTGACAAACCCTCCGAGGCTCTCCAGAAGCTCTCCTGGACGCCCCCCGGGATGCCAACCATGCAGACGAAAGCATACCAGACAGATTAGAAAAGGACCCACAAGCGACCCGATGGGTTCGGACTCCTCTGGAGACCTGCTGAAAACCAGGGTTCCCCAGGGGGGTCGAGACCAACGGGGGGGCGGCGGAATGGTCGGGTCCAACCCTCCGGGTGGGCATGGAAGCAACACACCTAACGACTCCACTCTGCTCTGCCACCACTGGAGGGTCAAGAGTCTTAAGATGGAAGCTGGCTTGACTCTTGACTGCCTTCGGGCCGCTCCCGACGGCACCTCTGCAGTCCAGGAGTACATCCTGCAAGGGCTCAGGACGGCCCAAGACGGTACAAGACCCCCCAAAGACAGCGCCAACACGGCCGAAGACAGCACCAAGGACCTCCCAAAGACGGTCCACCCACCAACCCTCGACAACTTTTGAATCCTCAAGCCCCATGGTCTCACCAGACGGCTCGGACATCTCGAAGGGCCCCCCTCCATGAGGCTCCCAAGAGACCCTACAGCGTCGCTGCGCAGCTTTCGCCAGAGGCGGATGCGCGCGGCACCGCAGCTGGAGAACAACCAGACTGAGCACTGTGAACGATTAAAGGCCGCCATCGCGGTTGCAGCTGTTGGTGTATCGGGCCCTTGCCTGGTTCGTTACTTCTCGCTCCTGGCGAAGCAATCGTAGCAGTAACGGGGGCCCCCTGACGCATCGAACCCAACACGCGTGGATTTCTCATACCACGTCCCTGTCGGCGTGTTGTTTGCTGCCTTCCCAGCAAAACACAACTTCCCCCACTCTGAGTTCGGGGTGGGGAGTTCCAGCGACTCCACCCCCCAGGGAGCCCGCCCGCCTCGTCCGCCCAAGCGGCGGCCAAGACGCTCGAAGAGGCCTCCAAGAGCACATCAAGAGGGCCCAAAGAGGTAAGCTTCAACTATTTTGTATTTAGGTGTTGTTCGAAATATTCTGACGTTCTCGCCTTTTCGGCTTCCCGACGCCCCAAGACGGCCCAGGATGCCACCGAGATCGGCACAAGAGGCCCCAAAGAGGTTCCCAAGACGGCCCCGAAGAGATCGAAGAGAGCCCTAAGGCGACCATAGAGGCCTCCCAGACGGCTCAAGAGGCCTTCAAGACGGCTCCAAGAGGGTTGCCACAAGGGAACACGAATGAACATTTCGAGCCCTCGGCCACGAAAAGCTCACAGGAGGCCCCAAGACGCCCCCAAGAAGCCCCCACGAGGCCCCAGGAGGCCCCCAGGAAAGCCCGAAGAGACCCACACGAGGCTCCCAAGAGGCCCCCGAGATGCTCCCCAAAACTGCCGCCCAGAAGCCCACGAGCGTGCTCGAAGAGGCCTCACGAGGCATCCCTGAGAACTCTGCCCCACGTCAGCGTCGTCGTCGCGGGCGATGCCGCTGTCGTCGTCGTCGTCGTCCCACTTCAGGGTCGGCGGAACCCGCCGTAGAGTCTTCCCAATCTGAGTTCGGGAGGGGTAGTTCCAATGACCCCACCCCCAGGGATCACGCCTGCCCCCTCCGCCCTCTACAAGATGGCCCCAGGCGACCTCGAAGACGACCCAACAGGCCTCCAACTGGCCCCATGTGGCCTGCACGACGGTCCAAGATGGCCTTCAAGACTGCCAGGATGGCCCCAAGACGAACCAAGAGGCTCCAAGAGGCCTCCAAGAGGACCCCAAGGAGGGCCCGAAGATGTCAAAATCATTGTTTTCCCAGGTGCTGTTCTAATCTGCTCGAGGCGGAAAGATCTCATGCCCCAGCGCCTGACAATACTTTGGGGCACAAGAACTGATACGGCTGCTGATGTTCCCTCCCCCATCACCTCCCTTTCCGCCGACGAAGCAGTGCTTGCGGTCCCGGCACTGGCTGCGGCGACGCCAAGGGCGGGACGATGACGACGACGACGCCTGCTCGTGGGATGTGTCCGCAGCCTCGGGGCAGTATGTACCGGACCAAGCAAACAATCCCAGACCAGACTAGGCAGATCAGCCTGATCACCAAAACTGCTATGCAACAAAAATTGTTGTGCTGTGGATGGGCCGCAAGTAAACAGAATAGACCAACCAGACTTGCCACTCAGAACGCCCGAACCAAGCAGACTAGCCAGACCAGCCAGTCAGACCAGCCGGGTAGACCAACCAGACCAGCCAGGTAGACCAACCAGACCAACCAGACCAACCAGCCGTTCAGACCAGCGAAGCCTGGACCAGACTAGGCAGGTCAACCTGTCAGGACCAAGCAGACAAGCCCAGACAGACTGAGCAGATCAACCTGACCGGACCAAGTAGACTAGCCAGACCAGCCAGTCAGACCAGCCAGGCCCGCCAGCCAGACAAGTCAGACCAGCCAGCAAGACCAGCCAGCCAGCTTTAGCAGCGCCACTACAGCGAAACAAAAACTGCGATAAAGGAACAACTGCAATACAGGAACAACTGGTTTCGTGCCATCATCGCCGACGTGTGCGCTTCAACCCTCCCTGAACCTCACCAAACCACGCTTGGCTCCCACGCGGAATCCCAAGCTCAAGCTCGAGCAGCGCCACTACAGCACAAAAAAACTGGAGTGTTAAACAAACAACTGCAATACCAAAACAACTGCAATACCAAAATAACTGGTTTCGTGTTGTCGTTGTCGCCGACTTGCGCGCTTCAACCCTCCCTGAACATCCCCAAACCTCGCTTTGCTCTCACGCGGAATCCTAAGCTCAAGCCCGAGCAGCGCCACCATAGCGCAAAACAAACCTTCAACGCAAAAACATGCAATGCCAAAAGAACTGCAATGCAAAAACAACAGGCTTTCGTGCGGTGATCGCCGACTTGTTCGCTTCAACCCTCCCTGGACATCCCCCAAACACCTCAAGCTCAAGCAGCTAAGGTGAAGCTTAAGTCTCAAGTTGTAAGCCTGCTCTGTTGAAGTTTGGCGTCCCGCCGAGCGCTACAACGGCTAAGAAGTTGATTGGTAGATTGTATCGCTGGGCGCTCTTCGGACTTGCGAACCCCTCAGACGGCCCAAGAGGCCTCGAAGATGACCCCGAGACGGTCCAAGAGGCACCCCAAGAGAGCGCCAAGACGGCGCAAGAAAGCCCCACGATGACCCAAAAGGCCCACAAGACGGCCCCAAAAGGGCCCAGGAGACCTCCAAGGCGGCGCTAAAGCACCCCAAGACGGCCCCAAGACGGCCCAGAGCCATCCCCGAGACGGCCTCCGAAGGCTCAGACGGGCCAAGAGCGCTCTAAGATGGCCCAAGAGGTCCCCAAGAGACCCCGAGAGGCCCCGAAGGAGGCCGTACCCCAGGCGGTCGCCCGAGCGCGGTGGCGAAACCGCGTGGCAGCGCAACTGGATGACACATTCCCCCCGCATCTCAGACTGAGCTCAATGGAATTGCAGACCACATCGCCTACACACGTCGCAACTAGGAGGCCTCCTAGATGGGGTCGCCATTGCATGGGCGATACATCGCCGATGCATGGGCGATGCATCGGCGACGCCAGCGCAGAGAAAATCGGGCTCCGCATCGAGCAGCATCGGCGATGCATCGGCAATGTGGCGCGACCGAGCAGCGCCACGAGAGCCTGGCGAGGGCTCTGCTGGGGTCACAGGCCAGTCTACTGCTCCCCGCCGAGAGGCCGCCGCGCCATGCCCAACTCCGACGGTGGGGGGAGGGCAGGCGCACCGCGGCAGAGCACCCGAGAGCTGCGCAGGCCGCCTGACGACGAATCGGTCGACCGCGCCGCTGCCGACGCAGCCCGGGCCGCAATCCCAGGTGACGTTGACTGCGACCCGCTGGTTGGAGTCGAGGGCCACCTCGCCCGACGCCACGTTGCGACTCCCTCCGCCCGTCTCCTCCTCCTCCTCCTCCTCCTCCTCCTCCTCCTTCTCCTCCATGCCTGCTCCTTGCAAATAACCTCTCCCTGCCGCACCCCGAGGCCAGTTTTTAGGGCGGGCCCGACGTTTCGCCTCAGACTTCCTCACCACTTATGACCCTGAATATTAAAAATCGGCAACAGTTTCAAGGATGGAGGGCGGGTCATTTTCAAAATGTGTCTCTCGCCTTAGCACCGCGCACATTCGTTTTGAAAACTTGCAAGAGCTTCAAGGATTGAGGGCGGTTCCTCTTCAGAATGCGGCTCCCGCCTTCGCGCCGCGCACATTCGTTTCAAAAATTTGCAAGAGGTTCACGGATTGAGGGCGGGTAGTTTTCAACATGTGGCTCTCGCCTTAGCGCCGCGCACATTCGTGATACAAAATTGCAGAAATTCGCGGATTGAGGGCGGTTCCTTATCGAAATGTGGCTCTCGCCTCAGCGCCGCGCATATTCGTTTGGCAAAATTGCAAGAGTCGCACGGGTTCCCATGATCGACGTGCCAGACATGGTGTTTTGGAAGGATTCGCGATTTTGGGGGCGCACCAGTTACTACGATGGTTCGCGGAGCTGAGGTCCCAGGAATGCCGTGCTGGCACGATTCCGGATCGTCAAGACGCAACAGTCAGGTTCATCCGCGGCGCTGGAATACTGAATAATATTTTGGCATGCTTCAGTGTCTTCAAACGGTTGTCCTCCAACGAGGCAGGTCCTTCTGTGGAAATGAACCGTTGTAGGGGCCTTTGAAGAGGGAGCTTGGGGGAGGGTTATTCCAACATCGTTGGTGACCCTTGGGTAACACTGGTCCTCCTCCTCCTCCTCTTCCTCCTTCTCCTCCTATCCTCCTCTTCCTCCTTCTCCTCCTCCTCCTCCTCCTACTACTACTACTACGACTACCACGACGACGACGACGACGACAACGACGACTACGACTACTCCTACGATTACTACTACAGCGACTACGACTACGACGACGACTAAAACTACTACTACTACTACTACTACTACTGCTGCTACTACTACTACTACTACTACGACGACGACGACGACGACGACGACGACGACGACGACGACGAATACTACTACTACTACTATTACTACTACTACTACTACTACTACTACTACTACTACGACTACTACTACTACTACTACTACTACTACTACTACTACGATTACGACTACCACTACGACTACCACTACGACTACTACTACGACTACGACAACTACACTACTTCTACTACTACTAATACTGATACGCTTACTACTACTATCACAACCACTACTACTACTACGACTACTACTACTAATGCTACTACTACTACTACTACTACTACTAATACTACTACTACTACTACTACTACTACTACTACTACTACTACTACTACTACTACTACTACTACTACTACTACTACTACTACGACTACTACTACTACTACTACTACTACTACTACTACTACTACTACTACTACTACTACTACTACTACTACTACTACTACTGCTGCTGCT